AAAGACTTCGAGTTGGTGCCTGTACATGTTGACGAAGTGCGAGTTCACAGATTGTTGAATGCAGTTCCCGTGAGAAGGGATCAGCAGACTTGGTGTAACAGTTAGAGGTACTGTCAATATGTGGTGCAGTGAAGTCCCCGAGCACGATACAGTGACCATTCGCAGCCCTGTGCCTCAAGGATTCCAACAGTATTGGTCATACGTTTTTATCGGCATGTTTCACGATTGTGTCACTGAAGATCTTTTAAATTCTAGAGGAGGAATCACGCTTTAGCTATTGATCAATTCAGTCTACCAAATAATTCAGTAAAAACTTGATGTTGAAATGAAAAAAATATTTTTGATCAAGCCATGTCTCGGAAGTGATTCTCAATTTCTATCCGAAGGATTTTGTGAATAAATGCAATTTAAATGAATGTTTTGACAAAGAATGCAGATCTGAACTTGAAGTAGAAAAGCTGCACCTACGTGATGCCGATAGTCCAGTTTGGTTGAAATATTTTCAATCTCTGCCAACAAGGCCAGATCCTTCTTATCACGAAGCTCACGATGTTGCACAAGACGATCACAATCACTCTCATCACCTGTAAATGCAAATCAATATGGAAAAATTGATCACACCACGGAGCAAGTCATCAGCATGTCAATATTTGGTTAAGTTGGAAAAGCACTCAGACTACTAGTTAAATGGATTTTTCCCAATCATTTTAGGCTCATTTTCATCCCTTGAGATTGGAGCTGAATTCATTTAAAACAAAGTGAAATAATCTGAGTGGCTGTCTGTGAATCACGTAGGTGGTACCTTTGAGTTCTACTTCTGAGATCCCAGGTTCGCAATACTCCACTTGGTCGATGAATTTGCACTGCGGATTGGACTGAACTAAGCTTCAAAGAGCTTTTCAGCGTTTTAGTTCAGGTTTTATTTGTGTATCGGACGAAATTCATTAGAAAATGCTCTCGAAAGAACAAAAATTACCAAACCACTGAAAGTAATGTCAAGAATTAGATAACACTGACTTTTTATCGGACTGTTCGTGAATAAATGAAATCAAGGAAGAACCTTTAGTCAGTAAATGTTTTGCTGTTTTGCTGTTTTGCTGCTGTTTTCAAACAGTTGATCGCACTGAACAGATAATTGGAGGCGATTTGTGTGTCAAGAAAATCTCTCTCTAATGGTCCCGTCTGACTAATGAACACATTTTAAAGATTTTCGCTGTCAATGTGGGGTAATATTCAATAGTGTTTCTTAGATAAGATAAAAAGGGAAAGGCTTACTAAGCACACGTTTACTTTAGGGCTTTGTCACTTTCTTAGCTGGTCAAGTTCATTAGGTGCTTCGAATCTCTTGGAAGACAGCTTTCATGTGCAGTAAGAATCTGACTTTAAAAAAGCTGAGATATAAATAAGAAAAATAAATCGGTTTATGATTGACCTTGAATTCGCAAAAACATTATGTCTGTGCTCAGGGAGCTGGAACTGAGATCTCGATCAGCGGTAATCGTGCGTATATGTGAATGGTGTTGGACAGAGAGTGTTATTTGACTTCCAACTACGATAGGCTAGAAGATCTGAGTGAGATGTTATGGTGTGTAAAAAGGGAACATTAGTCCAGTTTACTCTTTGCTGAGCGCTGTAAGATCGCTTGATTCACTTATTGTCAACCATAATATCCTTGCGGGTTGCTTCGAGTAGTAAAATAGATTCGCCCCACCAGGTCAACGCAGTACATGAATTATTAAGGCGGATAGAAATGGTGGATACCATCTGTATGTGCATGCATGTACGTATTATGATGGAAAGCAGATAATAATTCAGCGGCATGATTCTACTGAGTTGGCATGCCTGAGCGTATTGAGTTGGTGAACAAAATGAAACCGTTGATGTAAGACGCGTCATGTGTCACAAAAATCTGTGGGGTAAGAGATAAAACGTCCCCCGTTGATAAACAAATTTTCAAGATCATCAGAAATTGAGACAAGACAACGTCATCAATGGCTTTGAAATGTGAACCAATAGAACCAATGGAAAATATACTCTGACTAAACGGGATACATGAGTAACAAGGTATTCGATGCGTGCGATTCACTATACCACAAAATAGTCGACAGTTGGGCTGAAATTTCGATTGTCAGAAAAGAGGGGATGCAAAAACCAGTGTTATTACGGAAAATCCTCGGAAGTCGCTCCTTTCTTTATTCTTTATGATTTTCGTAGGGAACATTTGATAGTTCAGTCAAAGCGAGATGATGAATGATGTACACAATATCGTGTATGATAAATATCACACAGTTTGATTATATGATTTACTTTCATGGATGTCAAATGTTAGACCTGCCAATGATTCGTTAAGTCTCCGCCTAAACTAATCGATTGCGGGCACAGAGACATCGTGAGATTGTCGGGAATTCCAAATACTGTGCACCATCCTAGCAAAGGACTGACAATAGAATTCTAGTCAACTTAAATGAATATCCCCTGAGGTGGATGTTGGATAACAATGTGAGCAGCGATTTATAGCCTGTGATACTTATAAATTTGTGGACATCATTGAATCACCGGATCGGAAAGGCACATTTTCTCCGGATGTATCAGTAAATCCAAAGTTCCCCTTGAGGAAACTGTGAACTCTCTAGGCCATTAGAGTGAACGGAGAATCAGCTTGCCTATAGAGATTTTTGCGATCTGTTTGATTTATGTACGTATACCTTGCACCTGCAGTTCAATGGTGGGACTGTTAATACGTTTACGGGATTTCGATTGTATTCGGTCCCATTCTGGCCTATACTTTTACTACTAAACTAGAAATTGAAGTGCTGGGCGGTAATGAAAAGAAAGTCTTTTATCAGCGTTATATAGCTCATACAATTGAAGTGCTTGGTGTCTGCGACGGTTCCACGGTTCTATCAGAGATGTTTGACAAAATCCACAAGAATGAATGTATGACACAGGAAATATAATTCTTGGACAGTCTGTCATTCGCGATTTCTTTCTCACTGGCTGTCTAGACAGGTCCGTTAGCCTTAGTATTCACCGAACTTAGACTTGAAAGGAACAGTAAGCAAATTATCACAATTTTGTACCCTGGCAGTGCAGAAAACCTTATGGTGAATGGGGCAATGTGAATAAATTAGTCTGATACATGTGATGCAGAACTGAGTAAAACGGGGAACGACCTTCCCGGAGAATGTACTCGGATGGGATCGTCCAACAATACACGAAAACTATCACAAACGANGAATATTCGGAATTTGGTGTAAAGAAGAAATCCGTCTACTTGCTCAACTCGTTCAAAAGAGGTGCGCTATAAGGAATGAATATTCGACAGTTGTAGGACTTTGCATATTACCCTAAAAGCGTTCAGAAAACTGGTCGGTGAGTAAGCAATTGTTTTGGGATATTCCTAGTCATGCTCTTACTTAATGATAGCCATTGGTTCAATTCAAGGTCGTCAATCAGGGGCAGAGGGTAGACGACATGTATGTACTTGTGTATGCCCGCACATGAACACATTACTTAAGCATTTTCCCCAATATGATATGCAAGAGCATGACTAGGAATATCCAAAAACAATTGTTTGCATACCGACTCATTTTCTCAGTTTCAGAACTATTTGTTAAGCACATGCACCGTGGCTAATAAGAATTGACAAACCTATTTCACGGAAGCTGCTAACCTTTTCCGTCACCGAGAATCATACCCACGATTAGAAAAGCCAAACTCAATGTTTTCAGGCTCCGTTTATATAGGTAGTTCAGGGCAAAGTACTTGTAGTTTAAATCACCATAACAATTATCTATCAGAACACTTGATTGCGAAAACCGCATGCATTTAGAATAGCATGCTTTGGACAAGACCTACTGTGAACATGTAAAATCTTCCCACAGTTCCTCCACGTTCTCGAATATTTTGATTTATTTTTTCTGTGAAACCAATAGTGTTTGTTTCGATTTGGATGTGGCTATCTTGCAGGCCACAGTATGCAGCGAACCCCATGTTACAGTTTTTATAGCTAGTCAGACGTATTGGTATTAGTGTACCGAAGCGTTGGTTTCCGTTCTGGCGGTTGCTCATTCATTCTACGTATCTTATCGAAACCAGTCGGGAAAACCAGCTTGCACTTACCGCGAAACCAAACAGCATTCCCCTTCCTCCTCAAAACCCCAATCACCTTGCAATTCACGGATTTTGTGTATGCTTTTCTTCCGCGTGGATCTCTTTTACTCACATTCTACCTGCTATCATCTACATCTGAAACGCAATTTTACTGCTCTCCTTTGTGTTGAACATCACCAAAACAGGTACATCTACCAGTCAAGATGTATCCTTCGATAGCAGCTAACCACGCAAAGACGGGAAACCGATGATCTTACAGTCGCGCCCTTTGTAGGTTAACACTAGTGTTGAAGTATGTTCTAAACTCTAGACATTAGAATAAAAACGATTTTTTAAAGACACTGAACTATTCCTCCGGTTGTCGGAGAAGGTGAACCCCTAACAGTAGGGCATTATCGCTTACCTTTTATCGGTTTATCAGGCCACCACTGTTCTTAATTCGTCTATTGTTTACACTATTCAAACAGTGGGCTTTCCGATTTTCCAACACGTAATGTCCTATTCTTTCGCATTCATTTGGAATCCACAGCTTATTTCTTCTCAGACATAGGCATAAGTGAACTAAGATCAACTGATATGGATAAGCTTACTCATGCAAATCTAGATGGACTAAACGCCGTTCACGAAAATCAGGTCATCGGATTGCGTCTGGCTATTTTTTGGAACAGTTTCTTGACGAGGAAAGATAACTTTATGCGAGTCTTTTTATTTTGTTGCAGTGTCGATCTCAGACGTTTTTATCTGAAGGAGGAAAACGAATATTTTCCAGTTCCGAATCGCTATTCTAGTTGCAATAGAAGACACTCTAATTATTGAAACGCTCTCATTCGGCATTCATTGTTTCTTGTGTTCTTGTGGAATAAACCACATTGTTCATACCATTTGACGGTTAGCAGAACATCGTTCGACTGGATGCGTTACAATTACACGTTCTCCCACATATGTTTTGTATTTTGTCTAATTGTTATGCATCGTTGTTACCCAGGGGGTAGCAAACTTTTCTCACAACCTTCAAGAAATCTTTTAATGGTTTATCAGTTTGTGTGATTCACATTCTTCACTGTCCAACACGAACCAAAATATGCAAGTGCACAGATTAACCGGCAGCTGTTAATTACACCTCTTTAGCCAAGATGACTGTTTTTTCACTGATCAGCGCTGACATCTAATGACTTTCACAAAATGTTGGATTTAACATCTGTCTTGCGGTCGCGAATTTATAGGAATATTTTATGCAAAACATTCTGCCTAAATCATGATAAAGAGGACACTGCAACAGCAATGAAACATTTCAAGATCCGCCGACAGGATCGGGGAATCCAAAAAACGACGTTTTGAAGTGGACTAAATACCTCAATGTTCCGCGGTGTGCGACTCTCATATAAATTTTCAGTATTGCTGGATGATTTGAAATGCCTAACAGCGCAGTATTAACCATGATTTTCCTGTTTTACTCATACGGTGTTAATTATTTTTTTAAACACACTTTAATGTGATGAACAGCATACAGGTTGAACCCCATTGTCACGAGGACCTACCGTTCAGTGATGGAAACCAGTAAACTAATCCCCGGGACTTGGAGTGAACAACCATATAATGCCCCGTTAGGTTAGGCGGGTTATTGAACCGGACGACAGCAAAGCTGTCTACCACCAAGTTGGCTGCGGTGGAGAGGCTCAAATCTCGTACCATAAGTTTTAAAGCACACCAGTGAGAACGACTAAACCACTGCACTAACAGAATCCAAAACTTGTACTTACTTCCTTTCCAGTCGCATTCTGATTGGTAGACGTATACCTTTCGTTGCCCTATTGCCTGAAGAAAATTTACTTACGCATAATTGTTGGAGACTTTAAACACACGAATACTTCAACTCTCTGATAATTAGGCATGACCTATCTTTGCCACTGTCTCACATGAGGTAGCTCTATACTACACAGAGTAATCATCAATCCCCCAACCCCTTTTTATTTAGCATTCAAAGCACGAAATTCCACCAACGAACATTGTTTATTCATGATTCCACCTAAAGTATATTCACAAATATTTCTCATTCCAGTGAAGTTCTTAGATTGCTCTGGAATTTCCACCTTTCTCATCAATGTTCACATAAACAGTTACTGTCATTTATCATTACTTTTTTCGGTTAAGGGTTTGCGTGCATCCTACGGAAGGCTGGCTCCTCCTTTCCTAATGTTCTTTCGGAGATAAGTGGAACGTGCATTGAATTCCTATGCAGCTTCACCCTTTAGGCACTTGTACCGTTTTATCAAAATTGAACTAAAACAATTGCATGAGTTATTCGCCGATCTACTTATTTCTGAATAATGAAAACAGCCAGGACCTGTGGCAAGGTATTACAATCCTCTGTGGAAAGAGGAAAGACCAGTTATAGCTGCATATCAACGTTAACTATCTCAATGGCTCATTCGTTCACCTCTCGTCCGTCAAACTTGCAGCCTACTCGTCAAGCAGCGTTTGAAATGCGGAACCAATCTGGTGTGATAAAACTATCGAACAACTGTAGTTCTTCCTGAACTAAAGACCGGGAAAAGGTATTTCCAGCACTTTTCACATTTGGAACAACTTTCCTATCTGGGACAATCATCTACATTGAAATTGAATTACTTCTCACTTTTCCAGAATGCTTGAGGTCTTTCCCAATCCTACGTGTCTAGATGGCGTCAAACTTCTGTTTTCTTCAAAAGTTTGATCTTATAAACTTGACATCTGCCTCAAAGTTGACGGAAAAGACCTAAAGCAGGCCAATCATTCCTAGTGATCCATTACAGTCTAAAAGACTCATAGATCCATTTTGGACGCAGGTTTCACGCATATACGTTTTATCACCAAGGTCTTAAATAACTCTATAATGAGTGATTGTTTTCCTTGAGTATTCCTCAGCTTTTGAAGTCCGTGGTCAGTGCTGTTACAAAAACTGAAATCTTCTGAATGCCTCAAGTAAGCGTTATCCATTAGACTTGGAAAGAATTCCAAGATTTCTTGATCGGTGAAAAGCGTTAAATTAATTAAAGGCACCCCATAAAGCAGACAAAGCATCCAATTTGATTCGCTCGTGCAATTAAATTCGTTTTATATAGACTTTGTTTGCAGCATATATGACCTCATGGTCGATTGTCAGCTGGACCATGGATTGAAACTGCTTGAGACACTCAAGAAGAATAAGGAAGTCACACATTTGCGAACTGGTTTTCCGGTTGCCTTTCTATCAACTCTACACGTGGCATACCATTCTTCCATGATGACTACAAATTTAAATGAAATCTTCGATCAGAATCCAAATATGCATCGGATAGAGAACAAATAAAACAAGAAAACCAGAATCTTTACTACAGTTGGTTTTCCCACGAAGATTTAAAGCGATGTTCTGTAACCGATTTATTTCTGTTCAGCATCATAATAAGCTCCTACGTAGTAAACACGTCCTTTGGAGACAGGGATATAGAGTGTTTATTCGCACTGTGAAACATTCCACGCAGTCATTGTCACCGTCAATGAACGGATATACTGTAGACGTTTCAGACAGCACTCTATTTAACAAACTATTTTACCCCACAAAGACGAAAAGATACTATTTCAGAAACTATATAGCGGCCTGTTACGTTTACTCTTCGGTGGGTCATTGAAAAGCTACCAGGCTCAGTTTTCCTCGCAATCAGAAAAGAAATGGAGACATCTCGAGTTATTTACTAACAGTAATGATTTCAAAACAGTCATGAACGCAGATGAAGATGAGCATTATTTAATAACCGGCTTGGCATCGTGATATACAGCAGTTGAGAGAACGATGCAGGCGTTAACCGTGGATTTTTACTAAGTGTCTGACTACAGTATTCAAAATCAGTCCGGATGCGATTATTAATTTTGCATTTCGGAGCAGAAAATCGATTAGGAAGATGTGTTTGGAAATGTGTTCTCTCACCTCGTCACCGAAGCTTGAACAGTTCTCCGGAAATATCACTCTTCTTGTAAGCAGTTCACGATTTTTTATTGGATATCAGAACCGCAACGGCATATCAAATAGTAAAGTAAGATTAGTTTCTCTGGCATCAGATTTATATGTTCATATTTCCATCTACATACGAACTTGATGATGGCCTTGAAAATAGCCATAACGCTGTGATTTCACTTAACATCTTGACTGTTATGCTGAGAGTACTGACGCGCAACTAACTGCCAATTGAGCAAAATTGACTGTGCAGTCGGACGAGCGAAACAGTCTTTCGTCCATCAGCATTGGTCCAAACACATTCCAGTCAGACCAAATAAGTGTAGGAACATGAATTGAAGCCGTGCACACAGACACAAACACTCAAACACCACGGTTCGTGGGAAATCACGGAGACCGCACAGCTAGCTCGGTATTGGAATGCTGTCGACTTCACGCTGTTCACACCGTGCTAATTGAGTAGCACGTACCGTTAATTGGTGTGTTGTGCCGAAATCTGAAAGCTTGCCACTGGCAGGCACACTCGCACACGCACATATGCTGCCGCAAAGGGCCAGGTGAATCCTAAATCTGAGCTGTGAAATCTCTCACATGTGTTTGGGGGAATTTTACCGCTCCAGTGTCGGGGTGCGGAGGGAGGAATGAGGACTTCGGTGATAATTCCCAGTGCAATTAGTTGTTCAGATGTACCCGCAGAAGAAAGCTGAATCTGAAAATGAAGATAATTATCTACGCGTGCGAACGGTTAATCGTGTCAGTAGATTGAATTTGTGTCAGTTAAATTTGCATAAAATGTGCGGAAATTTTGAGAACATCTACAGTGCACAACAGTCCCGATGTGAACTATTCAAGATGAAACTCAGATTTGTCGGAACTCGTAAGCACTGTGTAGCTCTTGTGCTCAAAGCGGAGCTCAACTCGTACGCCGTTGAACTACGGGACCTCAAGGAATTATTCCGTTGCACTTTAGTGCATTTCACATATCAGGCATGAGTGAAATTTCAACAAGTGAAATCCGAGAGTCGCAAGTGCTTGTGGGGTCTCTGACCATTGGAATCACGAATGCCCTGGCCGACGTCAAGTACGGAGTGCGAGACCGGAAACCTAACCCCAGATAGGAGTAAAAGCATTTCGCACAAGAAATCAAGAGGTTCTCAGTTAGTGAGAAACATTTCACACTTCATGGATTGATTAAAATCACCTCAACTCACATGGTTCAAATTCGATTGCCTCTATGCCAAGGCGATGAAAAATTTTGTATTTTATGTTCTCTATAGTGTCCACGCCTTTCGGTGATTGTCTGAAACACATTGAAACAATATGTAAATACATGCTTTTTTTACAAAATTGGTTTATAGACAGATGACATTCTGGTGAAGGAAACCATCCTTTTGAATGGATCAATCCTAGATAATATCCGGCACACAAGCGGTAGGAAAAACAACCATGATTTAATAATAAAAATCCAAGGCGTCCACCGGATTCTTCAATCGTGTCTATGTGATATAAATTTGACTCATTTAGTGTCACCAACAATTTCAACACATCTAAAGAACCCTCAAAAACAGGTGTTGACGTAACACCGAATCCGTGGACAATAAGTAAGAGTTCAGACTCTACGGATTAGCTTGGTCAGTTTTTACGTGACTAGAGGGATGCAGAGGAGCGAACGTGGAACGATCGAAAATTATGGTATTTGGGTCAGCAAAGGATAGCCTAGGGGCGAGTTAACTTCTGCCCCATGAGGTCACGTGAGTTTCCAATGCTATCGGTATATTGATTCCGTGCGTGGTTCGTGTATACAAAAGCACAGGCACAACACACTAACTTTTGTAGGGTCATCCTAAACGCGACGATTGGATAAACCTTATTTATATTAATAGACATTCACCATACTTTTGCAAGTGCACGTATCGATATTTGCGTCTTTTTATTGGATAACATAAACGATTTCTCAAATTAGAAATAAAACTAATAATACAACGGTGTATTGAAAATTTTTAAATCTGCTTTAACAACTTGAATTTTTTCATCCCGTCTTTTAAGAATAATTGATTAAACCATATCAGGTTGGATGCAAATTCAATGACTGTCTATTTGTTAGTGACTGTTAAGCATATTCACACACACGCGTGTACACACACGTCATACTTAATAGGTTTAATTGAAGATCAAATTACTCTGACCGTAGCTCTGTAGCATGCTTTTGTAGATGACCGATTCGTTGTTTGTATGACTGCCCTGCTGCACGGCGCATCGATCGTATTTAGTATGTACACTCACCGTTTTTGAGTTTATTTTACTATCTGTATGCCCATGAATATATTTGTGTTCACTGAGGTGATAATTGAGCATAATCAGAGGAGTTCGTTGCACATTGCGTTCCTCTTACATTTGTATTTGTACCAAATTGGATAACGAACACAGAGATGTTATACTAATAGTGCTCAGTTTCCCGTAAAGTTTGGTTTAAATAGGCACTAACATTGTCGAACGTGAAAGCAAGTCACGTTGTATGTCATTCGAAAGTCATCAAGGTTCTAATGGGTATCCTTTATGGTTGCTTGCCTCTGAACAAATATGTATTCAGAAACTCATCAATAATGTCCTCGTTGCGCACTGGGATGACGAACAAGCAAACAAATGGAATACATAGGTTCAAACAAGTTTGCCAATTAACTGTTTTCCATAGAGAAATGTGCTGCAATTTGTTAGCTCGTAGGCATCTGTTCCAATTCGTAAAAAGTACCATGCGAACTACGGCCAAAATGTTTCTGTTTGGGACACCTCTGTTTACTTAACTGATATGGATAAGTTTTCCGTGTTTATCAAATGTTTCCGCCATAATTTATTCAATTTTCTTCGCAGTTCAGACCACATGCAATGAAATCAATGTCGTATGACGTTCAACATAAAGCCAGTTCCCACAAAAATAGTAAACCTCTTATTTCAAGAAGAAGAAAGAGAAAGAACGAGAAAATATTCAGTTCGGATTGCCAAATCTAGATGTGTTCTTAAATAAACGCTCCTGCTCACTATGTTCTACTTCCACCCCCATCCACACCTTTAATTAAGTAGGACGTTTGAAATTGGTCTTATTTGTTATCAGAATGTCTGCCAGTACATCGAGTGTTTGCTTAGTCTTTCAAAAGTAACTGTTTCTCAAGGAGTGAACGTATTCTATGTGCATCAAAATCATATCTGTTTACGGATGGGAGAAAGTAAACGATAGCATTTTCGCATAACTTACAGTCGTAAAAAGATGGGCTTCTTTATNTACTTGGGTACCTCGACGTTTGGCCACGGTGAAAACGATCTGATCGGTAAACATGAATATACAAACGGGGTCCTTCCTGTCCTGTAATAAGAATAGATAGGTGATTATTGGCTTAATTTTGTTTTCTACTACTCATACAAAGGGTCTCAGCGAGTCAAGATAATTGTATGTTCGGTATCAAATAGGGAAGCATTGTTTACTCTGTCTGTCTTTTTTTCTTGTTTATTTCTCTAACTAACTGCTGGCCTACCGAACGTGCGTCCACGCATTTCCGGATGCATATGGATGCTGAAGAAGCTGGTGGACTATGGCTGCCTGACAAACAACAGATCTGAACAGGTGTTACTGCATGTCATAGTTTGAGAACAGGTGGAGCATCGTCAATTAAGCGACAATGATACCTTTTTAACGATGAATCTGACACGGAACAAGATGTGCACCATATGGTCAAATATATTCAAATATTCGAACAACTTTGTCACGAAAGCGTGTGCAAAATTTGTTGCAAACAAATTAAGGTATGTGTGTTATTGATATTTTGAAACAAACAAAAACAAACCACTGAAAAGAATCATTCTCCTTTTCTATCGTGTATAGTTCATAACACACCCATATTTATTTTCCAATCTGATAATCATTCATTTTAGGCTGAATCGATAGGTGCATACAAACGTGGAAGATATACATGATGTTCACAAAGTCTAGAATATGAAAACGAGGACAATCTAGAATGTAACAAATAGATGTTATTTGGAGCGTTTTACTAAGGGTGCCAACCACTCTAATCGGTATAACAAACCGTAAGAGGGATACAGAGGTTAGTGTGTTGTTAATCTAATGGTCAAATTAGCAGCAGCAGCGCTTTATAATCAAGAAATACAGCAGGAAAATCTCGGCACTTCATTTGGTGGCAAGGAATATGCTTATGTTATCATACTTCTGGATAAACCTCTTGTTTCTCAAACATAACACAGAGTAAATGTAATTGATGAATCGAAAAACAATTTTTAAAAGTTTTGCGGACGACAACATACATTGCTCGATCCATAGCATAATACATCAGAGAAAAGATGGAACCATAACGGATCTGAATACTCACTTCCAAAGATACAATATCGTGACGTATGTACGCTCGGTTGGGAGTCAACGTCTATACGAGAGAGATCAAGAAAGATCCGTATAAGTAAACTGTAAACTCTGAGAAGGCAGTGCATACTGATCCAATAAAGTAGATCACCATTTATTTTTGGAAAATAATTTTCGTTTGGAACAAATGAAACGGTTTTTGTTAAGGGCATGTCAATAGTTATCGGCATTGTAACATTGAATAAAGTTGTAGGAGCTTATCAGTTTACTAAAAGCGTTTCAGAGTCAGTGGATCCAACACCTAGGTCGATATTTTGTATCAAGCTTGCCATGTTTAGCTCAAATAACAGTAAGATTTTACGATGTTTGTAGTTTTTTGATCTACCTAGACTGCAATCAGAGGAGGACAGATAAAGCTATCAACCACAGATCCTACGGTGATTCGACTAACTAAGCCTGCTTGATGATTTTTTGAGCATTACGGTAGAGCCTCGAACCACCCAAGCTCTCCATCACCCACCTGGTGGCATAAAAAGCGGCTCAAGAACAACCATTAGTGGTAGAATTGAATATGTGGCCGTTATTCTTTTTATTTGAGTTTGCATTACAGCAATTCACATTGTCGTTTGTTACATTCTTCATTCTTTCTCACAGAAACTAGCCTGTTAGCTATTATCCATTCTTGTTCATATGACTGGTGTATTTACTTATATGTATAATCTCTACGACTACTCTGCTGCTATACTCCTGAAGGCTACTGATCGCTTAGGGTGGAAACCTGGTAAGGTTGTTTATCAAACAAATTTCCAGTTTTAAATCCGTAAATGGGAATTAACTCGTTTTGTCGATTATCACATTTGGGGATAACCATTACTTCTAAAGTGCATGGCATTGACTTCCGGGACTTCATAACTCGTACTACCCTATCTTCATGTCCCCCATCCCCGAAATATACATTTCTCTGAATAATACATATGAATTCAGTTAAATGGTGCGGCGTCATCGGCGATATCACGAATAGACCTGGGTGGGGCCAGGCATGTTTCTACCTTTTCCACAGAATTCAAACTTTTGACTATTTACCCCACCCCTATCTCACTCAGTTTCATTCTATCACGAAAACACAACCCAATTCCCTGCAAATGACAAACTGAATTGGCATTCTCTTTCTCTCCAAAAAGAGGAATTCCAAAGTCACGTGATCAACCGCCCCGAGGGTTGCAACCACTGCCTCATATGCACGCGCACAATTATGGGTTTCTCTGCAACATGTTATCAAAATACGCGGTTTATAAAATGGAACTATTTCTTCACTTCAGGCGTTTAAAGTTTAGGCAAAAGCACTTCTCGTTGTTCTGGTTACTTTGGAAAGTGCGAATAAAGAGTTACCACAAGGAAGCAGTTTATTTAAATGATCAATCACAATAACTTGTGCTCGTGCGGTTTGCAGTACGCATGCGATTGAGCACAGTTAAATGTGATAGATCATGATGGTAGCCATTCGGTTCTGCAACGGATCCCTGATCGAAACTGAACCTAATCGAAATTAGAGATTACAATTGTTACCGACGTTGATACAATAACTGGAGACTGTTCTTAAGACGGTTCGGTGCACAGTAATTTTCACACCATGGACCCCATTGCCATTATGTTTAGAGCAAAAATCAGTTCATTAATCGGCAAATCTTCCTGTTTGCCGACTGGAAACTGACCGAAAGAAGCGGAGATAGTTTCTATGAGCTAGGTTAAATTATTTCATTAAGAATAATCAATTGATAATAGGAAAATATGACCATTGACTGAATTGATAAAAACTGATTTATCAGCGAATAAGTCATTTATTGAGTTTAATACTATTGTAAATCCTTTGGCGAAATATGGTTTGGTTACAAGTGATGGAGAGCAAACACATTGTTTACGGTGATTTTCACCTTTGCTTCCATGTGATAAAAGAATAGTGACTGTTAGATCGTTGGCTGATTCAATGTCCGATGGGTAACGTGGCAGGATTTGAGTATCGTTCGTGTATACGTCTCCGAGTTGTACGAAATTGTTTTCAGGAGAGTATATAATTAATTTTAAATCTGTCATTCTGTGATGCGATATCTTCTTGATTCAGTGAACAATTGGTTTTTTCCTTCAAAATGAGCCAGGGCAAATGAAACACCTGGAATGCACTCAAAATAGTAAAACAAAATCTATGCGGTAAGACTCGGCAGTTGATTTTTCATCCCCCTCCGGCACGTCTGTGCGGTCGAGAGAACGAACGTGAATTTATCCACTAGCGACGTCCTGGTCAACGCATCAATCCTGGGTTCAGTTTATCTCTTAGCTTGTGTCCGCTTTAAAAGTGATTTTCAACAATTTGTCATACTTTGGTATGAAAGCAGTTTGTACGTCACGGGTTATAGCAAATTATATTTTGTACGTTTATCAATTTATCTATTGTGCATATGCTACGGACCACGAAAGATAAGCAATGGACTAGGTTTTCAGTTGTGGCATAGAGGGACCAGCCTATGGAATTCCGTGTAGTGTCCGTTCCATTTATGTTTTCCTCCGATACGGTAACCGTTAAATCCTCTCACTCTCCTGCCCTTCTGGACAGCACCTCCCAAAACGGTGACATTTCTTCAGTTTCCACTTCTACTATGAACCCAATAGACTAATGAGATAGTTATCTCCCCCAGTGTATTTCATAAACTAAAATAATGTTTGGTTGCATGAAAAGTATCGCCCATGCATTGACTGTAATCTCAAACAATGTGAAAACTTTGGTTTTTGGGGTAATTTTCACCGGTAATTTACCACCTATCAGTGGATTCCATAACCGAGGGATATTTCTACATAAGAATGTTCTACGGTATTCACCACCAGGTTTTCCCTGGGCTAATGTTTTATGCGCCAACGAGAATCATGCTCATTTCTTAGCCTTTAACAAATATTTAATTGAGCAAAGAAATTTTGCAGTAGAGGAGGTGGCCAGTTGAATGGCTACCACGATAGACAATAAAAACATGGGATGAGTTAAGAAGTGTGGGAAAGATTCGAACAAGCGTTGTGATGAACAAGGCCGTATGAACACCGTTGGCAGATTCCAGGCAAGTTGATGAGCTTACTTTTGCCAGATGAAAGCTAACATTTTTCAAGTGTTAGGAAGATGTAGTGTTTTCATTGAAGAAAACAAGATGTTTCAACTGATGAAGATTATCCCAAACAATATTAATCAGCGAACAATCGGTTTTTGGTACTGACAGAACAGGTTTTCTGATTAGCTGATTTTGGTTGGTGCATGCAAATGTTGATCCTAAAAGGATTTAATGTTTTTTTAACGGATCGTCGCAGTCAAACGCTTAGATGCAACTCCACCTACCCGGTGCTGAGCACCGGGTTTAGCTGTAGAAATATCCATAGAACACTGCCAACATAAAATATTAGGTTATGCATAATGTTAGCCCAGTTGTTATGTTTTGTTCCTAACTCAAAAGCATAGTTTTGGTGCAAGCCTCTAAGGATCGGGAAGCAACAAAGTTTGTTCACCGGCAGCATGCAACGTCAATTTCTGCTCGACACATTTGAATAAGAAGTCCGCGCAAGCTTCTTTCGCCGGAATACCTTTCTTTCACTTCTTAGAGATCAGGAAACATTAAATGGTTTGTAATCATAAAAGGCCTCATTTTGACTTATATATTTTGTTCTTCTAGATTATATCGCGGAATACTGTTTACAATAGATGACATTTACGGATGAAGCGATAAATCCATTGAATGAAAATTGCAACTACAAACTAGCTCAGTACAATAAATGAAACAATTGGTTATTCAAGTTTTACATTTTGAAGGCTTGGTTATCTGAATACCAAGTAATGAGTATATGCGGAAAGAAATGGAGAAACCGACAATGATACTATTAAAAAGCTAACCAGAATGATAGTGATAAAATGTTTAACATCTGGAACACACAAGTTCATTACAACTCGCTTGCATACAACCCGAGCATGAATCAATAGACTGTTGACCACTAACGTCTATTTTTAAATGCCTGCTGGAAAACATGAATAGGGATTCCACAAAAAAGCAAAAGTCATACCGCTGGCGCCAGTAGTCGAACGAGAAGCTTCGTACCATCGACCATACTCTCATCTTGGCCATCCGCCTGAACAGTGTTCACACGGACTGCTAACCGATGAATTGCGTTACGAGCCTCGTTTAACAGGGCGTTGTCCGAAAAATGCGTCGGGGTATATTCAATAAGGCGCTGCATATCAAAAAATGGAGACGGGTGTCTGTTCTTCATCAGCATCACGTAGTGCAAAAAAGAGTCAAAAAAATTCACATGTCTTATAGTGTGAACGTTCCGATTGTGCTACTACTTATTAGAGATCTGAAGGAAACAATGACGAACCTCAAATGTGGTAGATTTAATGGGATATTACACTAAAGAGACAATTCATTTGACCAATATATTTCTCAGGAATATTGTGATGGATTGATTGAACAATGATTATGAGTAGAGCCTTTATGTGCATGTTGCCTACTGCGACTATGAATTTACTTCAAATGATGGAGGAACGCTCCCACTGATAGTAGTAAATCAGAAGTTTCACTGGTAGCTGCATCTGAATTGAAACCCGGAAAATGCTTGAGTGAATTTAACACAAACAATTCGTCTGCACCAGAATGGATCTTTCAGTTGTCACACGCGGTGTCTATTTTGTTGAACATTGGTGAATGTGACTGTATTCTCTGGAAACTGACAGAACATAGCTTGCAAACAAGCTTGCTTTTAGTGCGCTGGTCGAGGTAAATGGGTTCACAGAAAACTACATGAGTGGCTAAGTGTTGGGTGGGTGTGGACTGTGCTGATACCGACATTTCTAGTAGTAATTGATGCCAGTTCTCTTATGATGGAATTAAGTTACCTCTTAAGATCACGATAAATCTATGAACAAGTTAGCTTTGGTTTTTTTACCGATTGTCTCAAAGCATGTAAAGACATTTGATGAGTGCAATGGAAGTCACCTCTCCATCAGATACAACGTGAGCATTTACTTGTTTAGCCCAGCACCCTTTGATCGGATAGATCGTGCTGGGAAGTTCATGAAAAATGATTGTCTGAAAGACATCTATCAAGTGAGTACTAGTTGCAATTATTCTGGTGGTAGTCGTTCTTCGGCTAAGGTAAAACCTGAGTTTTATTCTCTGCTGCTTTCACTGAGACATCCGGTGGCTACAGTAATGTAACTTAATGCACAACAGCATGGAAATTGGCATTGAAATGGTTATCTCTAATGGATGTTTGGGTTCTAGGACCAATTAATTATAGGACATTGACCCCATTTGGAGCAAGTTATGGGGCTTACTTTACCACACGTCTGTCCAAACGCATTAGAGATCCCCATTTCCTTTGAATCCAATATTTTGACATCACCAAACACAGCTCCAAATCTTTCCAGAATATACTGAGATCATGATTGCGTAAACTGTGAACCCTGCACTATATAACGTGAACATCACAGAATGTCAAACGTTTCGAAGTGGCACTGCCACTTCACGAGCACTGATGATGTCACTTAGGCTGGTGATGAAACGTTTGTAAACAAATTGCCAAGTTCGGCGAACAGGCGAAATGGAGTTCAGTTCATCCGAGCAGCGAGAACCAATTTGCAATATCTTGTCAATGTCAAAAGTGTTTGTTAACGCTCTGTGAACTAAATTCACAAAACATTTTCACATTGGCGCTCGATTGGTTTATCCTGGTTGAACGAGCCTCAGTACGCATGTGCTTGGACCGAATATACTATGGAATAACTTGGTGGCATAAATGGTTAATTGATGTTGTGACAAAATAAAATAAATATAATAATATACATATAATATAACAATAATATTTATTATTTGTGGAAACCTGATCAATTTTTCAGTTATTTTATGAATTGTTAGTTTGCAAGCCATGGGAGCTTTGCCCTTTAGCAAGATTACAATTATGCCTCTTCAGTCAAACCCCAGTCTTTATCACTAGAAAACTGAAAACTTGTCCCAAATCACTCACCTTGACAAGAAGCTCGTAACGCGGTATTCGTTGAATAGGTTGTACCAACAAAGCTTTCAGAGGGAGTTTGCTACGTAATGTTCTGAGTTTTTGCTGGAACGAAGAAGAACCGGACAGACATACAGATGGAGAGGGAGAGAACGAAACGATTATTGTGTCGGGATTGTCATGTCTTGCACAGATGATAGAGAATTACATAAAATGGTACAAGTTTTCGGTTTATTTATTTGCAATACAGACCAAATAGATATTTTTTGTTCGTATGGAATCAAGAAGTTTGATTTTGAAGATTACATTTTTTATTTTTTTGCTAACGTGACGAGCACCGAGTGAAATTCAATGGAATGAAAAAAATGAGCGTTAGTCGAACTTCAGATAAGTGTGCTTTGATCTATAGTTCACTGGCGTCCTATTTTAACACTAAGTTACCTCATCCAGTGATGCCTTGAATCAATCGTTGGAAGGAAAAAGGATTAAGATTCTTCGTCTGAATTGACGTTGCGGTTTATCAATTGACCGGACATAATATAGCAATTCAGCTAAGACCAACTCTCACATAGTATCAAGTTGATTGTATTGTATTGTTACGGTGAAAAACCTTTTCATCAACGCTTGCTCACTTCACAAAACTTTTGAAACGAGGACTTTGTGCTCCAGCAGGCCTCGAGTGTTTTTTCGGAGTTTGGAAAATTCTCCACGAATGAACAGTAACAAGCTGCCACTGCTTCACGCGAGAACTAGTTGAGCGAAAGGGTATGGCAGAACAATAAGAATAGTATTAATTATTTTTATTCGGAAATACGATACATGGATCACACATGGTTTATAAGTGTGATAAAAGATCGAGAGTGTATGCATGGGGTAAATTAAAGTTCTCTGCGAGTCAAAGGTAGTCACTGTCACATTGAGAACCAAGACCACCAGGCGAAGCAAGCCATTTTGTGGTCGATCAGCTGGCCAGTGCAATTATAAAGAGACTAGTTATGGCGTGTGACCTGTTTTGGATTCTGGTAAAATGTATAAAAAATGTATTACATGTGTTCGTATTTAACTACCACCAGGGCTATGTCGCGGGTGAGACTTTCCTAAGCTGCCTTTGGAGGTTTTGCTTCATTCGCAGCCAAGCGAAGGCTTGACTTCAAACGAGCAACTTCGAGCTTCAGATCCGGTGGTGAGAAAATAACCAATCGTTTGAGCACAGAATAATAAATTGCTCGTAGTTGTCGGCGCTATAAAATATGGGGAATTCTTGATGCAGACTAACTGGGTGTCTTGTTTCCGGTATTTGAAACTCACATCGTTTCACCATGGTCAGTATAACTTTCAAAACAAACCCAGAATTTGCATTTGTCAGAGATAAATTGAATTTTATTTTGACAAAACAAGCTTTTCCAAACTAAAATATCAACTGAAATTTTGAAGCAGTTTAAATTTCTACTATAGCTGGTGGAAATATGTGAAAAATGAATACCCATTATCTGCTGAAATAAGTCGCCTGAATGACTCCTCCACTTTTCTCCTTGGAATACAAAAGATATACTGCTTCACTCGAATTCTAAATAGTACACATATGGTTAAATGTATTTCAGTGAGGGGGGTATAGATGAACAAAGAAAAACATGGCTTAAAAAATAGCCAGGATATTAGTTCGTGGTGCAGTGTCAGCATGCCGTGTGCTGTTCTGAATCGGTTTCACTAAAACAAGTCCGTTTTCCGTGATCTCCATTTCTGCCGAGTAGGCACACTTCACACAAATATCTCACTCTGAACGCTTAGTGCGTATTATAGAACAGGCCGATCTGAATTAGTCCATCGTTACTATGACTGCACGTATAGATGTGAGTGGAATTCTATTAACCACAGCAACGGTGACCCAAAAGTCCAGCAGAATATTTTACAATGGGTCATATTTATGAGACTGGACAGGGTAGATGTATATATCATGGAAGAATAAAGTATTCGGATTAAACCGGTCTTGGGTTCGTCTTGGAAAGGAATGTGAAATTCACAATGATTTGGTGATCGAGCAAACTTCGTATGTGTCGGCCCGGCCTTAGCCGCGTCAAGGGGGCTTTGGGTATAAACATGAACTATTAGAGCCCCTGGAACTTTATTCGGAAGACAAATTCATCTAATCAGAGTGAATATCACAAACAGTATTCTGGTGCTATCCTCTGCACTAGGAGATTCATTTATCCTGTCAATCACCCAATTGACTTTTCAGCTGAAAAGTGCAAGTCCATGCGCGCGTTTGTCAATCACGGGAGGAAGAGGAAACTGGATTGCTGTGTTATGCACTTCGTCGCACTGGTTGCGTTGAACAGAACGAAGCCGGGGTCTGCACACTGTATTTCAATATACGAATCTGACAAATAATAATCCGGAGGAATCAGCGGTACAAATATTCCATTGAAGGATGAATGCTTTCTTTCAGCATATTAATCACAGTTACCTTCGCCTTCAATTTTTGGATCACAAAATAAGAGTTAAGAAAACAAAGTTCAAGCGTTCTTATAACTTTTGCAAAAACAAGTATTATCCCGAACCTTTGAGATGAAGATCTCGACCGCTTTCTCCACCTCTCATCTACGGAGTTTTATTTACTTATTCAGAACTAGTTCATTGGTTTGTAATTTACAACTTTTGGTCTTCTGCATCTTGCTCATTATCCACCCTGCTTTACCTTATTCGCTTGTTCTGATCCGCTGGAATAGTGCCAAACGAAAAGTTTTGCAGACTTTTTTATCCAACAGTACATCAGGCCATTTAGTGATCTACAGAATGATCTATATGTATGTGATGAAAGGAAATTCCTCTAAGTTTCCATTTCCCTCGATTGGTGATCTGCGACACAATATGGTAGTATTTAACTCTTTACGCTCGCGACACCGATGATTCGGAATGAAAACTCTATGGCTCAGCAGGGTGCAACTAGAACGATTCGAGATTGTGCTAGCAGGGGAGGGGGTAATCTGATCCTCCACTGAATTGAACTGTCAGTTTGATAAATACAGGGTAATCATGCAGATGTTTAACCAACCAACCAATTGTTCCGAAAGACTTACCATGTCTAGGAGCTTGTCACCAACCGTATTTGTGAGTTCCCACATTTGAAGTGTATTCAAGAAGCTCAGATGGTAGTTGAAAAGTTCGTTGATTTTGTAAAAAATCGTATCCACTTGTTGATCATCCAATATTTTTTCTTGTTTCAGTGGAATCATGTAGGACTTCATGGACAGGCAATAAATACAGTTATGACAAAAGATTATTTGCCAAGTGATGGAAAGTAAATTGGTAATTCACACTACAAATAGCAATTTTAAATTCAAATTGACTTGTGAAACCAAACTGTGAAAGTCAATTCTCTGAATTCTTACACTTGATTTTTCTGTTCGTTTCCACGGAGTTTTACGATTAGCTTGAACGACCGCCTAAAGTTTGTTTACGGCTCCCGAAAATCAAGCGTTATTTCTTTTCTCTACGAACACACCAGAGTTGCGATCACGGACAAATTATTTTGTTGTTTGTTTGAAGTTGAAATAAAGATCAGCTCAAATGTTTGCTCCTTGTCATGCGATCCCAATTTTCACCAAGTGAACAGACCACCTTTATTCGAAAACGGTCAAAGTGGTATAAAACGTGTCAGAGTAGACCTGATAAGGTATCCCAACATGCAACATAAATCAAAAGCTACTTGGTTGTTCCGAAATTCTTTTCATCTGTGGGTAGTTTTCTGGAGGTCTTTTGATAGAACAAATAGGGCAGGAATTGTAGTGTATTCAGGGTGACTGGTTCTCTCTCTCTGCATGTAGCAGAGGCAGGACATCAATGACCTGCCTGGAATGGTTGCACCGGATGACCTTTGTGTCTGCGGCACACCCGACAACTGTCAGGTGACCGACCGCAACTAAAACATGAATGGATAAATCAGCCTTGTTTTGTTGACATGGACTTGTTTGAAGCTAGCAAATTTTTTCGCAAACTAAACCATGATCGAAGTTACCCGGGAATGCCGAGGAACTACTGACTCGTAAAGAACTTTGCCGCGAACATTGCCAATCGTCAAAACGCTTGAATAGTTCAAACACCTACACCAGAATGGGATCGATTTGTGAAAAAGTAGTTGCATGTTTACTGAGCAATAGCAGCATGAAACGTGCATATTTTTTTGCTTACACCGTGAATTCAGGTATGAACTGATAAAACAATGTGTTTTTGTGAAAAAATTCAACGTGCATAATATCGTGTTATCATTTAAGAATAATCCTTAAGTGGAGTGCGTATTAAATAATACGCATTTAAGCAAATTATATTGTTATCCGTGATAAAATTTTGAAAGATTATCGGATAAACTTACAAGTTATGTTCACAATTTCATGTATCAGTTCAATTCATCCCCAAGAAATGGTATAACTGTGGCATGATAGCATCAGTCAACTGAGTTGAAAATCGTTGCATGTTTTCACTGCTTGATTGGAACATAGAGCTTTATTGCTAAAATGATAACAAACATTGAACCCAAAAACCTATTTTATCTAATAACATCGACAATCGGATTTTCAACTCATCAACAAATTTCATATCCGCCGAAATTCTCCGAAAGACCCACATCCATCCACTGGCAGTTCTGAAAGCAATGCCGGCAGATCCATTTCGGAAAGCCGGGTTCAACCGAGAAACTTCATCACAAGCGGTAATATTTGATGTTTTCCGTTGAGACAAGTTAGAATATCTATTTGTCTATAGCCATTGTATTCTCAATGATCTTTTTACGCGGTGAAAATTTCATCGTTTTACTCAATTGTAAATTGAACTCATCCATTTTGCAACCGCAATGCAACATGCACAAATTACTGTAAATTACTTCGAGATATTTTCTTGTTTTTAATGTGCGATGTGCCATACAGTGGTATCAATGATTATCAGTTATTATGGTTGGGGTTGCTGTCGTAAACCGTTGTTGATAATAATATCGGGGTTGCCTAACACAAGATAAGTTAAGACTCAGGGTCTGTGCAGAATTTGAAATGGTCAGCCCATATTCGTCAGTCAGTGTTTTTCAAAAACTAGCGTCACATTACTACAATTACAGTATTCAGAGCATGCAACAAACTCACGTTCACANTGAGCTACAATCAACAGATATGCGTGTGAAAAGGGTAGATAGTAAAATCAACAGATTAGCTGAAGTTTTGTGATGCATCTAATCAGAATATTTTGCTATCTGTGACCTCCACACTGTAGTTTAAACCATAAATCGAAAGTAAGGAATAACCGAATGCGGATGCGCACAGATGCTCTCACTAAGTACGATTCTTTATAGAATGATGCGCCAACATTCCAAATGATAAAATATTGCCGATAAAATTATTCCTTGAAGCACTGCACAACCAAATAGTTACAAAACACATTAAATTAGTATTTACTATTAAAACATACATTTCTGTAATATAATTCAGTCAGTCAACAGATTATCTGAGAGTATTCATATCATTACCGTCAAATATAAGAAAAAATGACTGAACCCGCAATAATCATCCTATAAACATTTTTGTTTTGTTTTGCTCAAACATAAGTTTGCTTAATTGGAAAGAACATTAACAAATCTAGCGCAACCCCTCGGCTGCCCCGGGTTCGGTCCCGGCGAATAGGTGGAAACCATAATTGCACAAAATTATACTCAGTATGGTGAGAATTAAACTGGAAGCATTATAATGACCATAGTACTATCGATAATCTGTTAAATTCAGCTCAGCTGATATGCAACTGCAGTACAATCAGCATTCGGGTCATGGCTCACTATCGTCTGTCGGGCAAGAAATGAGGAAGTGAGGAAATTTGAGCTGCTGGACAATTTTACGCTCATCATCAACAAAGTTAGCGCATGTTCTAGTTTTACTGATGTGATGGAAGTGCTCTTATTTTTCATTCTATAGTTTGCGGATCTATTTTTTTGTTTTAGCACGTTTTCAAGAGGAGGAAAGCATATTTTTCGAGATAATATCTTTTCATGAACAGATGGAGATCATTTTAGATCCATGTTGAAGATGATTTTGTTATTGCATCATTAGGGTTGCATTCCTTCATTGGAATTTTAAATAAATAATAGAAAATTAGAAAGATTTATCATTTTCGTAAGTGAAAATTTATCAAGCAGTTTTTGCATGCAGATCAAATTGGTTATTATGCGCCCGTTGTGACAAGTAATTGAATATGATAAAACCCGGTAACGATAGAAAACAAGCCATAAATTGACGACAGCTGAGGATAAAAAGACTAAGTGGCCGATTTCATCTCGTCTTCTTGCAAAGGAGCGTAGCACGTAATTGCCCCGATTTGCTGCAGAAAACTTAATCTTATTCTGATTAACTGGCTCCAATTTGCACATAATGTGATTTCTTCTTTTTAGTTCTCACTAACTGACATTAACTTTATCTCTGGTTCAACTCCATGAATGAACGGTTTCTCGTTTCCATTGTACATAAATATGAAGGTTATTCTTTTTGCACTCAACTATTTATCACATGTAATCGAAAAATGTTCGACATGTAGACTTTCACGGTTCAGCAATGCAAATTTCAGTTCCATTTCAAATTATGCCAACGCGTCGTCTTAAGCTCACAATACTAGGAATAAAACCGTTGATCAAACTCGTGCAACATCCTGTCTAACGTCAATTATTTTCCTCTCAAAGCGTATTGTTTTAATCCTCATTTACGTTATTGAATACGCTAGTACCCCATATCAAATGGAACCTATGCGTACTTATGTTTTTCATTCTATTAATCCACTGCTATTAAAACGCACGACATCTTGGTTGCTGGTGCAGCAGATGTAAAATAACAAAGCGTCAGTAAAACATGATTAAAATCCATTTTTAAACGTGACTCAGCCATGCTACAGGTATTGTAGTTTTATTTTGTCAATGTCCATCAATCGGTTCATAAACTATCCAGCGAACAAAAGGAGATAAGCCAATCGGAATAAGCGTATGGATAAGAATAAACAGCTTCATGAAAGAACAATCATGTATTAGAAAGAATGAACTTCCATGCTGCTTTGCATAAAATATACTTCAATATTTTTTTTATTTTGAAATTCGACAAATTTTATCGTAACAATGAAGGTCACGAAAACTCAAACGGGGAAGTAAGAAACCTAAGACTATAAAGTCCGGAATAAATGCTCTTCACTTTTATCTATTAACGTACGCGTATGACATTGTCATTTTAAATGTATTTCCAATATGAGAGTCATGTTGCACGATTTTGAATAGTATCTTTATCTTCAATCCGGTGCTGTATTGAAAGTAGCTATCAACAGTTCATAAGTCCTCAGACTAGTAATATGTACATGGTATCAAAATTATGCAGCCCTTTTACGATCCGTAGATTGTGAAACAATCGTGCCGTGATCAGAATTTGCTTGATTGCATCAACTCTGCTCCCCTAACGTTAAGTGACAATCGTAAAACTGGGTTGAAATATGTTTTTTAAAATAGCCTATATCCTGGTTTACCGCAGTGACTTACCTGAACTACTGTATGAATCTATCATTTTAATGAATATCAATGGTACTACGTACAAAAAGCAAATTTCATATTTTGTGCTGTCTGTAGTTCTCTTATTGAATTAAAGATCTAGATCACTGGTGGTGGCCAAGTAGCTGTGACATTTGTATCTTCAGCAAATAAAAAGGGAAGCAAAAAGACATTTTTTTATAGTTGTACTCTTTAGAATGCATAGAGTATATTGTTTTGTTGGGCAAAATTTCGACTTTTCCGCTAGCTAGTCCGTATTTCTAAAGAGGGCTTTTATCTGCCAGAGATCAAGGTTTTTGGTGTTTCTCAAATTTCAGTGCTTTTCCCTTATCCGTCCACCGATGATGTTAACACATTCAATAAATTGGTCTAAAATATCTATGGCCAGAGATTCATTAAAATTCCTGCCAGAGATTCTGGATCATCAGCATCGGCAACAAAGCTTGTGTTTGTCTGTGACTAACAAGAGGTGATGATATACCGCCTCTTCTCCTATTTCGCTGCTTAGAACCGTCTTTGAAACGTGCCTCAGTTTAAAGGACAATTCCTAAACAACTAGGTGAATTTGGAAGATAGATATGTTCGGAAGAAACTGATGGTCTCCTTAAATAAGCATGGATTCAGTATTGTATCAATACCGGACTCAGAGGGCATTCATATTTGAAGAAGTCCCGGATGGACAATTAT